ACATCTTCTTAGCGTGTCTTGTAACTTTCTAATATGAAAATAGATAACATTTCAAGTTCGAGTATTCCGTTCATTAAAAGTACTCTCGTTACCATGAGCATCTGTCTCAACGTGATTTGTAAAGGCAATTCAACCGGAAGTCTGATATTTTTTCGGATTTCCACTCAGAACAGGAGAACTTCAACTCAGAACCTCGTTCCTCGACCGCTGGTCAATGGGAACGAAGACTCTGGACACGAGGTTACCCCGATCCAAATGTACACACCGGTCAAACGCACTGCGCACGCGCAATTCAAAGCTATGACCTCCCAGATACCATAGTTACAGGTTGAAGGTAAAGGTACTCTAAAAATTGAGCGAAGCTTAAATTCCGTAATGGAAATGTTAGGAAACCCTTTTCCAAATTTCTCTCTATTGAGCTGTAGAAAATGTAGTTCGGTATTCGTGTATTCGAGACAATGCACACATGGTGTAGTGTTTACACTCTCTTTTCGATTTTTAATGTGATAAAACGCTCCGTTTCCTGCTTGGCATACCTCTTCTACAATTCTCCTCCGAGAAACACGAATGGATGAGAATGATTTCACGCAAATATCGACAAGTTACTGAACTATATGACGTACCTCACGGATGCTTTGTTCGCGTTGTCAGTTTGACTCCAACAGGCCATTTCCCAGTTACCTTGTGCCTCTGTTTCAAAACGAGCCTTCGTTCAGAACCTTTCATATAAAAATGAGTTTGATTTGCATGAAAATGAACATGTAGGCGGAACATATTTCCATGTGAATGGTTTCGCACTCGATTTGACATAGAAGCAAAAGGCAACTCAGAAGTGGCCCATTGGCTTTCATCCGGGGAATAGACCACATTCATATTCTCGGTATAGGACTGGAACTAACTTGCAACTGAGGCTAATGCGGGGAATTTTTTCTCCCGTAAATGACATTTTAAATCTCTTTTTAATGATATTCCCCTGCAGCCTCCATTACAAGCTGGTTCCAGTCAATATCGAGAATACGAATATGGCCTATTAGAAGATAGAAGTACTTTGTTCCTCGCCATTGGTAATACAGCACGGAAGTACCGCTCATCACGCACTAGAACACATCAGTTGACTTCAATCTAGTCCCGCCATTTTGAAAATCGTCGAGGAGAAGGCCCTGGGGACAAGGTTGGAGTTGACTTGTGATTTTACTCCGGGGATCACACGGTCGAGAAATTTAAGTGGGCTATCTCACGGAGCAAATTCCTCTCCACTGGTAAAGGGTATGACCACACCCTGACGCTTCAGTTCACTTAGAACTTCAAGAATTGCGTCCAGTTCACACCGAAATTTATCGATCTCTCGATTCTTCTGTTGAACGACTTGCCGCCATCTTGCCTCCGTTTCCTCTTTCTCAATTTTTGCTGTAAGGTGCGTTTTCTCTATAATCCTTTGTAAGTCTACTTCTCTTTGAGAGTGTCTTTGTTCAAGAGCACTTATTTTAGTCTCCAATGAGTCGAAGTGGTTCATTTCTGGAGTGAACATCTGTTTCGCGCGCCTCAGATCTGCTTGAAGCTGGTTAACCTGTTGTTGGAGAGATTCCTCACGAACCTAACGCAAAGTAGAAAATGATTTCACAAAATAATTTAATGACATGCCCTACCTACATAAAATGGCTTCTTGAATTGATAATATAAGGATGAAATCATACATGAACTGCAAGAAATGGTAACCGTAGCAGATGTGTCTGCGATTTTAAGAGCTTGTAAGATGGAAGTATCATTCATGGCTTTCAATGGGATTTCAAACATCACCTCCGCTCCCCGGTACGAGCGCGATATTTCAACAACTGGGCTATCAAGCAACAGGTAACGGGTTCATGTGTTCCCGCGTTAGGAGTAAATGACAACTGATCATAAGAGTAAAATGCTAGCAACTATGTATGAGCAAATGTTCTGGAGTGATAAAAAATATGTACTAGTTATGCAACACTTTCGAGTGACCATGGAATATCCTACGAGTCACTAGTCACACACCATTCTCTGGGCGAGTGTGTATACCATGAAAATACAAGTGACAAGTGGGATATTCCATGTTATACCACGGGAGAACGTTGTATAACTATTTTAAACCATGTTATAGAAAATACAGTGGCCAATACAAGCAATGAGACATACGCGCGGCGTATGATGGTAAGGTTAGATGTAATACCGACGAACAAACAACGGCTTCTCTGTATTGATTGGCTGTATTTTCTATGGCATGGTATAAATGTTTATACTCGTCTATCCTGGCTTCACGTGTTGTGGACGTCAACAATAGAATTCTAAAAGCTACCAGGGAGGGAGGAAGGGTTCTACGGGTAAGAATATTAAGGAGAGGTTGTCTGTCAGTGTGGACCTCTCTTACCCTGGTTGCCGCGATGGTTTCTGCATTAACAGTAGCGTCAGCCATCTTGGCCTTAAGTCTCTGAATAACAATCTCCTGACCCGCTAGTTGACTCTTAAGCTCCGCTACTTTAGAAGATCCATGATCAGCAGCAAATCCGGCCTTCAACTGATCCACTTCACGTTTGTGCTGAGCTTGCAAACTTGCTAACTGGTCAGCTGCCTCCTCGCGAGAGAGCCGGGCGCTTCGCTCGGTCTCTGCTAGGGAGGCCTGAAACCGAACCCGTTGTTGATCCATATCGAGCGACATCTGCGAGACCCGCTCTTTAAGGCGCTTATTTTCTTCTGTTAATTCTTCCACTTGTGGGTCTGGTTTGGTGCTCGCGTGCTGTTCCACTCGCTTACCCTCGTGAGCAAGCATCTGTTCTCTCTCGCGCTGCAATCGATTGCACGTCTGCCTCATAGTCTCCAACTCAGATTCCTTCTTTTCAAGTTGATCTTGAAGAAGTTGAATCGCGTTAGTTGAATCGTCACTTTTTTCTTTTTCAAGTTCAAGTCGCTTTCTTCGACTGGTCTTTCCACCAGAAGAGTCTATTGCTGTTGCTTTGGATAAAGCTTCCTGAAGAACTTCAATTTCAGTCTGGAGCTGTTTAACTCTCTGATCATTCGTTTCACGGGTTCTTTGCAGTTCCTCCTCGAAAATTTGAGCTCGCGTGTTTGAACGAGCCGCTTTCTCGTGTCGCTCATTCACGCTTTGTAAATCCCTTTGCAACTCTTTAATCCTGTCCTCGTAATCGAGCCTCAGAGAATTGTATTTCTGTTCTACGCAACGTATTCTCCTGCTGGCTTCCTCGTCTTTCTCCTCGAGCTCTGTCTCTAGTTTTTTCACTCGGTTCTCGAGGAATGCGTAAGTCGGAGATTGTTTGCGAGGTGACTCGGTCGCTACAGCCTGCGCCTGGCCTGGTGCCGAGGCAGCCGCGTAAATGAGAGCAGGCAGGGAGTTTGGGTACCGACGTTTAATAATCTCTTCCATTTCACGAACCTGTAAGGTAGAACAGAGATCATGGTCTGAGTTACATTTTTAAGTGAAACGCGCTAATTTGACATCTTTAATTGGGTTTCCTAAAATACTTTAACTGGGTTTCCTAAAATTCGCAGCCAATTAAAACGCGAATAACACGAACAACATGACGTCTCTGCCTCTTAGATTTTCTTGGTTTCTGATTGGACAACGAACAACAGCCAAAATAAAAAATTAAAAATAAATTTTAAGATTCAAATATAGTCAAGCAGTTATACATTTATCAAGTTCGTCATGTACTGTAGAGCTCCATAAGAACAAAAAAGGCACGCAAAACGAGTTCCTCCACCTGTCGTTCAAGGTCCTGTATCCTCTTAGCATCTGTCGCTCTCTCCACTCCCCTCTGTTTCTTCTCGGCCACTGTCTGACCGTGTTGAGCCTGTAACCGAGCAACTGTTTCTTTAAGCTCATGAATCTCTTCCTCTTTCTTCTTGAGCGTCAGAGCATCACGGTCAAGCAGGGCCTGGGTCTCGGCATACCATTTGAGCTTAGTGCGCAAGCGCTCGACCTCCGCTGCATGTCGACTTTCAAGTTCTGTGATTTCTCTGGTGTTTGAGCCTGCGACCAGCGAAAAAAGTTAGAAACAAAATGATTTATAACGGCGCAAAGAACAGGGGTACAGTTGGATTGAGGATAACGATTTTACACCGCTGTGATGACTAAAACTAATGTTTTAGCTCCAAACTAGCTGTAGTTCAAATATAATTTTGGCAACACTATTCCTTGAATTTTCCGTAACAATGGCCAGTTCCCGTAACAATGGCCAGTTCCCTCTATGTGACGTGCCTACAGGGAATCATGGTTGTCGCATTCATCAAAATAAATATCCACTCCAAGATGATAAATACAAGTACCATGACTCCCTGCAGGGGTGTCTAATAGAGGGAATTGTCCATTGTATGTAAAACAAACGTCTATGGTATCGGTAGAACAAAGGGGCTTGACCGACATTAAAGACTCCTTTTAAAATTTCATGGCCTACTGTGGCTTCTTCTACATCCACAAACTCCAGTGACATCCGCGCTTTATTTTACGAGCCCCCTTTTTCTGAACCATGACCTTGCGTGTGTTATTCTGGTACTCACTAACCTAAGACTTGACTGCTTTGCTTCACTGCAACATCTCTCTCATTCTCTACTCCTCTGATGCGTGTTTCCAGCTCTTGCTTTGCTCGTCTCAGCTCATCAGCTTCGTCCTGTACCTCAGTCACTCTTCTCCGTAATGACCTCATCTCTGCTGTCAGCTGAGAGATTTTATCCGCGCCTAGTGTGGCGGAGCCTGGAGCCGGCAAGTCTGGCCCAAGCCCCCCGCTTTCTCGTCGCTCGATCTTTTCCTTCAGGTTTGCGAGTTCAGATGCTACCAAGAAGAAAAAAAAAACTATGTTGTCAAAGAATTGGCAGAATTTACAATTAAATCTCGTTCTGGCTTACCTAGTTTGTTTTTCTTTACCAAAAACTTGCCGTTTGTTTGTCTTTTTGTTTGTTTCTTTGGAGTTTTTGTTCAAGGGTTATCCATCATTTACATTGCAAACGTTTAAAAGTACTCTACAAGGAAATTTAAGCCGAGTCAACCCAGGTCAGTTTTGGTGGAAACTGACGTTCACAATAGGATACGAACTTAGAGTAAATCGTCAGAGCATTTCTTACCTTACTGAAAGGCAAAGCAAAACAGAAAACAATCAGTTGTTTAATAAAACTNAGCCCCCCGCTTTCTCGTCGCTCGATCTTTTCCTTCAGGTTTGCGAGTTCAGATGCTACCAAGAAAAAAAGAAACTATGTTGTCAAAGAATTAGCAGCATTTGCAATTAAACCTCGTTCTGGCTTGGCTAGTTTGTCTTTCTTTATCAATACCTTGCTGTTTGTTTGTCTTTTTGTTTGTTACTTTGAATTTTTGTTCAAGGGTTATCCATCATTAACATTGCAAACGCTTTAAAGTATTCTACAAGGAAATTTAAGCCAAGTCAACCCAGGCCAGTTTTGGTGGAAACTGACGTTCACAATAGGATACGAACTTAGAGTAAATCGTCAGAGCATTTCTTACCTTACTGAAAGGCAAAGCAAAACAGAAAACAATCAGTTGTTTAATAAAACTGTAGACATGGCATATACAGGAATCCAGATTTCTCGAACCCTCATTTTTTCGAACCTCCTGATAACTCGAACCAAAAGTCATTTCCCTTCCCTCAGTCGCCGCCCGTCGCTTGCACGTCACGCTCACAGTCACGCTCGCACGTCACGCTCACAGTCACGCTCGCACACTCACTTGTTTTGCGTTCTTCCCCACGGATTTTCGAGGAAAAGAGAGACTGCTCGGAGTCTATTCCCTAAGACGAACAGAGCAACTTCACACCTGATTCCTCGGACTACCCGATTTTTCAAACCAAATCTGGCTTAACTAGGAGGTTCAAAACTCGTGATTCCACTGTACTATAATTCAGCAAAAAAGTACTCTTTACCCAGTTTTTGGTTCTCACTAAACATTCTAGCCTCGTTAGCCTTTTCCTTGGCTTGCATTTGTTTGAGTTCTTTATAAAGCCGTTCATTTTCTTGTTGATATCCTGCTAACAGTTGCTCCTGCTCGCGAACTTCTTTCTCCATTCTCTTCACTTCCTCTGCAGATGCACCCTAGAGACAAAACACGCGTGATTAAAATGTAATTTCTTCTTACAATATGGATACATTGTCAACCAGATGGGGATGAGAATACACAAAATCATCAACTGGGAATATTGTCTGAATGTACTACCAAATTCTCTGAACTAAGCTTAAAGAAATGTATGGCAATATGTAACGAGAATTAAAATCCAAATCTAACCTCAAGGCTCCCTCCTGCCGCTACTCGTTTTCTCGTGTCAGCTTCTTTCTCCGTCTCGTTGAGTCTGGCCTGCACAACAAACAGTTCTTGTTTAAGCTCGTGGATTTCACTTTCATAATCAAGACGACACTTCTCCTCTCGCCTGGACCATTCCTTCTCACGGGACGCCATATCGGCAATCAACTTGTCGTTTCGTTTTTTCTCGTCCTTCCAAGCAAGCTGCCAATTCTCTATCTCGGCTTGCAAAGCTCGTTCGCGTGAAAGTCGGTGCTCGTCGGAGGGTCTTCGGAAGGATGTTCGGGAAACCGATCTTGCGGGCTCATCGTCGGACCATCTCGCCGGCGGTGGTTCGATTTCTTCATTATCAGGGCGGACAATGTGTTTTAGGTAATTTGCGAATGATTCTACAGACGCGGCAAGTTGCTTAGCCGAAGGACTCGAGTCGGCCGTTTTTGGAAGCGCAGGGCTTTCAAGATGAAGTTTTTTACTAGCACCTAAGGATTTCTTAGTCTGGGGATAATGAAAAAAAAAAGGAATAGTCGATCAAACGTTAACGATTTGACAACATAGAGAGTAATATCCTGAGAAATTCTTTGCAGTTACAATGGAAAAAATAGTCTAGTCCCTGACCCTAATAGTTTTCAGTTGAGTACGAATTCCATAGCATGAGGAATAGTTACTCCTCCTCTTCGCTCCCCCCGCCCCCCTCCTCCCCGCCACTCTTACCTCCCTGGATAGGGTAAAGTCCATTGCAAACAGCTTAACTATCATATTTCCAAGTTGTCCCGACAGTTTCCTGGAGAGAGAAACATACTGAAGGAAAACCGTTTTGCACAAAGAACACATGAGAACTGCAACCAAGGCTTAAACCCTGAACCTGTGGTTCCCGTGTTGTGTCGAGCAGCCACTACCCTTCCCGTAGTATTTACAGTCGATTTGACTCTTGCCCCCGGAACACACCTTTGTTTTACTTCCTCTCATGGTGGGAGTTGGTGACCAGGACGGGCCAGATGAAGGAGAAGGCTTGAACAGATTACTTCTGTCTACAGGACTGCTGGAGACCTTTCCCTTTTCCTTCTTTTGCTGTGGTTTTGCCGTGGTTTTCTTGACGGGTTTTTCTTTGCTACTTTTCGATGTTTTCTTAGTCGTGACACTCGCCTCAGTACCTTTCTTGACACTCTCCCCTCCTGCACTCTTCCTAGCGCGTGCTATACTCTTAATACTCTGCAAACTTTCCGGGGGAGGCGTGTCATCGTCATCGTCGTCCTCCGCCTCTGCTCCCTCTTGGTCAGCTTGTAGCAAGTTAGCGACAGGCTGCAAGCTAAACCCATGCCTCTCCTCAGCTGGCTGCAGGTCAAATCCGCGCCCCTCCATGAAACCCGACGAGGAAGCGACAGCAGGCTTCAGATCCAAGCCTCTTGCCTCTGCTGCTGGCTGCAGAGTGAAGCCAGCAGCATCGTCTGCTGGTTGTAAATCAAAACCTCGTCCCTCTTTATGTGTAGCAACAGAAGGAGTCAAGTCAATTCCTCGCGACTCCAACCTACTTAAGGCAAGTCTCCTGTCCGTCTCATCGACAGATGAATCAACACTCAAGTCAACAGGCAATGATCCTACGGGCTTCAAACCAAACCCTCTTTCGTCGTTCTCAGCCGAAACAAAGGAGCTGAGCTTTCCTTGCTTGGTTTCCATGTTAACACTGTCATCAGCAGCACTCCAATCATCCGTCACAATAACCGGCTGAAGATCGAATCCCCGCGCACGTGTTTCACCTTGGTCGTTTTTCTCGATCACAATCTGCCCAGTCCTTGACTGATCCACACCTTGAATCACTGCAACAGCTGGAGGAAGCTCGAAATTACCTGTAAAAAATTTACAATGAAGGTCTATTACTATAAAAACAACTGACCTTTTTTTTGTAAGAAGAAAATTAAATATTAAGTAATTCCTTTGCCTTATTCAGTAAAGCAATAAGTTTATTAGACTATAGCTGCTGTATTCCCGCTTTTAGAGCTTAGCATGCATTATTTTTTGGAGATGTACGGCTGGAAATTAAAGAGCATGTATAACCCGGATGTCGTGTTGCCAGCATAGGCCAGTATAATCACCGCCCCTTCTCAGTTGTACTGTAAATATCTCAGATGCAAATATCTTTTCCATGCTATATTCTACACCAAATAGAAGATGGTGTTCCTATATTGTCTAAGGAAATAACACACTTTTGACTGAGTTCTAGAAAAACTGAACGCACTCGCGTTCCGCTCGTGCGTTCATTGGCAGCCTCAAAAAGACCTCAAGCGTGCATCGTTTATTTTTAGAAAAGATTAAACGCCATCTTCTATTTGGTAAGCATACCAGTTTACCGAGTTTAGTTCAGTTCTGAGCTAAGAAGGCTTTGCTTCATTAGTCTAGATTGAATTAAAGGCAAAACCAATAAACAGTCTTGGCCCTACTCTGTGAAACTACATATGATCACTAACAACTCAATTTATCAACTTATTAACAAGGCCTCGGTTTGAAACAGAACAAAGGGTAACTATCCTTAATTCTGAGTACCTGAGTATTTAGGTCCTGTATCAGTAGCAGTGAGTTGAGCAGCTTGAAGTGCAGCCTGCAGTTCATGAATATCTCTTGTGCTTCCACTCGCCTCATAATCACGTCCTGGTCTCAACATGGACGTTTGTCTTTCATCAGACTTGGGACTTGCGTGCGTTTCTTTACTAGATACTGAAACACACAATAGCATGTTGTTGTTGCTGTTGTTGTTGAATATTCATAGTGGACAATGCGCTAATAGCTACAACTAGATAGTTCTCAGGCATGCCACTTTAACTTTTCAAATAAACATAATAGGCTTAAAAATCCCAAATGATAGCCCGAGGCAGACCAGTTAGCTATTTACAAGCATGACCGAGGACTTGAACTAGGGTCTATCAAGAAACAGCTCCAGCTTAGTAGTCAGAGCAGGACTTGACTGACCAGTGACCTCCAGATTTCAAGTCCAGCGTCCTAACCACTCTGCCACGCTGCCTGGGAAATAATTTGTAAGAGCAAATACTGAAATACTGGTCTGGTACTGACCTTCACTAGAGATAGCAACTTGTGGTTTTCTGTGTTGTGATAGAAGATTAAGAGCTGCAGCAGGTCTCTTGCTTTCCAGAGTAGAATCCAAAGACTCCATCAAAGAAACTAAATTAAAAAAGTTTATATCAGAGTGTTGGAAAGGTGTGCAAAAAAGTAATGCTCTAAGCATCATGCACTGGTTCCTTGACAGAACTAAAGAAAAACAGAGCAATGTTTGGCATTTGCATTTATTAAGAGTACAATTTATAAGTTACAATAAATAAACAGGAGTCTCTGATTTAGCAAAAAATCAGGATGTTACCCAAATTTACCAGTTTAGGTTAGAAAATACAGAAAACAATGTACTGTAGGGTTCCCAGCCACAAAGGGAACAGAAGGTCCATTGTAAGATGTTTTGCTGCCTTTTTGGTGGAGGGTCAAGATTGCTGATAGTTAATGACTGAAAAAGCACAGCAGAGGGAAAATGGTACAATTTATAATTCCAGGGAATTTGAGAAAATTAAGTTTGAGATAGTGATGTTCAACTGCAACCAATTTTCAAGAGCAAGACTATTCAGTAAAATGTGTACTAAAAAGATGTAATTGTGTTTCTTTTGACAGCTTTAAGTATTTTTCTCTCCACTGCCCATTTCTAGGAAAACATTTTGTATTTCTTGTCGAACATACCAGTCACAGAGTTCAGATGATGATGATTGCAAACACATATTTCTCAAGAATGGACCACTCCTTTTAAGTTGACATTTTGCAAAAGAGCATTGAATCATTTTTTATATAATTATTATCTCGTCACACACCTTTTGACAGCATACTTGGTTTGGTTACTTCAGTGGGTTCCTGAACAATTACAGAAGAAAATGAAAATTTTTAGATTGAAGTAGACAATTTGTTGGACAGTAAATGATAAGAAGTCCTGCACTCTCTGCTCACTAAAACTCCTTTAAATTTATACTTTTTCTACTTTTTTCCAAATCTCCTCTCACGAGATTCATACCTTGCAAAACTAAGCAACATAATAATTATTTAAATTTCTATTTTGCTCCTACAGTGAGTGAGCAGAGTTTCACCATTTTCATTTTTAATACCAACTGCAGAATAAGTGATAGAGGCCAGTGATCCAAAGAAACTAATCAAGAATGTTTTTAGTTTGAACAAGTATAGCATGATTGAGTCTTTTTCCTGGATTACAGTTTTATGTACACACCGGAGCTGAGGGTCTCTGTGGTTCTTCAGTTTCTTCAGTGTCAAGCTCTTTGGGGCTCTGGGCATCCTCAAAATTGTCACTGTATTCTTCTCCACCTTTTTCTCCTTCTTCTCCTTCATCTTCTCCTTCGTATTCTCCCTTCTCCTGCCCTTTGACCACTTCTTCGACAGCATTGTTTATTTTACCTGAGGCCCCTACATGAGGTTCAGACATGAACTTGCTTTCAGGGAATTGAATGTAACATCAATTAATAACTACGTACTCAATTGTATACCTGTAATTTAACAAGCAGTATCAAGAATAACTCAAAATTACATCAGGGGAAGTCAAACATCTGGCTATAATTAATACCTTAATTTACAGATAGTATGACAATCTGGAATAAGAAATGTTGATGATGATGATGATGATGAGGAGGAGGAGGAGGAGGAGGAGGAGGAACAGAAGGAAGGACAAGAGGTGGGGGAAGGAGGATGACAAGAATGATCACACTACTTAATAAATAATAAAAGCAATACATCCATTAAAAAGTTATTAAATATTTTGTAATAAAGTTCACACCTGTCATGTTGAATATTGAATCCCCCAGTTCAGCTCCAGTGGCTTGAAATCTCGCATCATCCCACCTTTGCGTACATAAATGTAATGTAATACTAAGAAATAAGTACATGGGCAAAGAAACCAAAAATGCCTACACTCATAACTTGTACAGTAGATTTAATGAACCATTTTCACAACTACCCAGGTTTATGTATATAAAAAAATTTAATCCCATTCACAAAAAAAAAAATTTATTCTTATAAGAAAGTCATATATGTACATAAATAATGCTAAATTTTCTTTTTGCTAATTTTTGAGGTCCTTTTAGAGCAATATTCCAATATGCAACACTACCATGAGACAGCGGCATGGACAAAACGCTGATAAAATGACAATCAACAACATGACTTGGTTGAAATTCAAACAGTGATGTGACAACCTTCCAAAATCATGATATGAAAGAGGTTGAAAGTCAGACAGCCACATGTATATTTCCCCCAGGAAAATGTCCCCTACTGCCCCCAACCCCTGAACAGGACTCCATTCCTTGGATTAGCTCCATGTTTGCTGCATGGGCAAACTCAATGCAGAAAGAAAATGTGACACTTGTCATGGACTGGAAAGAAGAAAAAATGTGAAATCACTTGAAGCCATCATTTCAAATCGTTAAAAACATTCAGAAATCTACTTATTTCAAAGGTCCTGACCTGCCCAAGATAAAAATCTTGACTACAATATGTATTTGGTGCAGAAATTGTTGGCAGGTGCATAAAGGCTGTATTTTAAGAAAAATTATGTAGTCTGCATAAGGGATGCCAACTACCTTTCTTACCTATTTTGTGTATTCCCAGTAACAGAATAGGAAGTTGACATTTCACCAAGTTTTTTGTTGTAATCAACAGGTGATGCTCCACCCTCGACATCATGAAAGAACTTTTCCTTGTCTGCTAGCTCATTCATAGTATCCAGTCCCTTGTCAGTAGGTTTGGCAGTGAATGATTGAGGAACCGGTGAGACAGGACTGACAGATGTTCCTGTTGGTTCACCTATAAACCAAGAAAAAAAATCCATAGTAAATGAAATCTAAGATACAAACAAAATATGCTGTCTACAATGACAAACTAAAACAAAGAATTTTTCCTCTCTATTTCATTAGTTTGGAATTAGAAATCACTATGTCAACTGCAAATTTAACTGCCGACAAATACACAAGCAGTGAGCCATTTTTCATTATCTTAATTGATTAAGGATAATTATTCCTCCAACATTTATCATTATAAATGCTGTTACGTTGCAACTAATGAGCTCAAATGATGAAACAGTCGTTACGCTCGCTTCTCAGTTAGATCACATACATTGTGATTGGCAGTAAGAGTACTAGTCTGATCTGTCAATTGATATTATTTGCTTAATATGCCATTTCCTTGAGTACAGTAAGTGTACAGTAAATAACAACGTACCAGTAACAGCTCACCAATGAAAAATTAATCAAAATACCTTGCTAATAAAATCTTGTCCAATAAAATTAATACGGACATTTTTATTGCTTAAATTGCATTAGTTAGATTTATAATAAATAAATTGAACGATACTGTGTACATGTACATGACTTTGTATGCTAAATCAAATTTATTGTGAATCTTGTACTGAGACATACCACTGTAGGAGAAAGTGTCTTCAAAGTCTTCTGATCCAAGCCTGACACAGTTGTAAAAATACAGTTGTTATCAAAATGTATCTACGTATCTCAACTCTCTGGGATTATCTAGGAGTCTCCTGGTCTTGCTTACAGGTCACCAAATCTTCCAGATCTCCCAGGGAAATGCATAAGGTACATTTTCACACTAATCTTGGCCGATAGTCAATTGGCATTTTCAAGGGAACATTTGACGCATTTTAAATATGGTTGAATTGACAGAGCCCTTACTCTTAACAATGTCATTTTAGGGTTTTGGATTTCAATTTGTTTGGTCTGGCATCTCTGATAACGTCATTTTCAAAATATCTAAGAATGAGTTCACTGATAAATATAAGAACGCTATGACTGACAACAAATCCAACCTTTTTAGTATTTCTTCAGGTGGTGGTTTTGTCCTTTCTGTGGACTTTGCTAGACCTGTCAGCAAAAAGAAGAAAAAACTACATATTAGACTAAAACCACACCATCTGAACAGTCGTTATTACTTGAGATGTACATGTAGTACACATACACAGGTAAAAGGGATGGTCAGGCTAAAAGAGAGTTTATTAGCTGAAATTTCACCAGAAAACAAAGACTTGGGGTAACTTTTAAGGTGTAGAGGCCAGAAAATGCAGCAGAACTGGTTATTTAGCCTGCCAAGCTTTCTCTTACACATACATGTAGCTACAATGTACATCTATCCCAGGGACAGCTCTCTAAAGTACAGTGTATAGATGTGAAGTAAGTCTCTATTGTACTTCAGTAAGTACTGATCGGTCCCTTCTTTCTAAGACACTACGATAACCTGGACACCTCTTCAAGGTGGCTTCATCTCTAAGGAGTACATGTCTCCAAGACAGACACCCCTCCAAGCAGAAAAACGGACACTAATCCCAGGTGTATACAACTCTGCATGACAGACATCCTTCAGATGGAAATGCACTGTGCACTTCCCTTAGGTTGACGACTCTCTAAGGTGAAGACCTTTCTACGACAAACCTCTGAAAAGAGAAGGGAAGATATCTCTCCAAAGTGGAAACTGGACATCACAAATGCCTTTCTCCTGGTCATCTCCAATTTTAAGTGTCTTGCCCAAGAACAAACGACAATGTCTCTGGCCAGGGCACAAACACAGACCACTGAATCCAGAGACAAGTGCACTAACCATGAAGCCACCACACTGATACTGAGTATGCCCACTTAAGTTCACTACAGCCATTTTCATTTCATTTTTAAACAATCTCAAAATGTATGTGTAATCAGTTACTTGTTCAGGAATATGAATATGAAGCCACATGGACATCAACGATACGTTCACTGACCTTCCTCAAGGCTGTCCCTACTGATCGACAAAGCTGAGCTATCAACGTAACTTCCAGTGGACAGGGCAGTCATAGGACCTTTATCAGGATGTATATGTGGTGTGGCAACTGCTGGAGTGGAAGCCTAAAAATGTTTCATTAATATAAGTCCAAATTAATTTCATCTATTACAAAACTTGTAGGCAAAAGGTCCAAAAAAAGTCAACATTAATGTTCTGTAAAGTACTTTCAGTGTTAACCTGTGGCTAAAAGTTTGTATTATTTGTACACTTTACAAACAGTAACTCCAAATCAGTGAGAGGGCCTTGTTATCTGCAGTAATATATTACTTCAATAGGCTTTTGAAAAAATAATACCAGTAATTTCTGCTAAGTTTTTGTGTAAACAAACACAGCACACACACTTGTATGTTGTTTCTGTTTGGTTTCCTTTATTTCCCTTTATTTTAGATAATGACAACTGGTGACCATGAAACAAAGGGAAATAACAACAACAACAACAACAATAGGACAATTGCCAGTTTCTTTTATAACCCTTCTACAAAATCTTCCCAAGTACAGAAATCAGTTTTGCTCAAAAGTTCATGTCCACAATGGTATTTTCATTAAAAAAGTTCTCTTCATGGCTATCAATAAGAACCATTACTGGTAGCACCTGTAAGTGTTATGGCTGAGTAATTTTGATGGGCCCTTGATGTTTTGGGGAAACGTGCCTGTAGTTGATACAATTTACCCATAAAGTAGTACGTTTGTTATGGGTGTGAAGATCAGGGCTACAGGTGACTCAGAGTGTAATGACAGCCCCATCTTGCAGACTTTGAACTCAAAAAAGACAACAAGATGTAAATTTCGCTTAACTTACATGATCAACAACATCTGGTTGTGACTCGTTTACTTCTGGTTTGGAAGTCTTTGGTTTTATCCAGCTCTGTCGAGCAGCTTCTCTTTTCTTGTTATCATCCTCATCATCTTCCTCTGCCCACCATGGCAACTGGGCATCTCTAGGTTTTGCTTTTAAATCAGGAGCCTTCACACGAGGAGAGCCTATGGAAGACTCATCTGACATGGACTAAAATGACACAACAACAATTTAATATGCTCTTGTAAATAGTAAAGTAAAGTAAAGTAAGAGTAAAGTGTTTGTAAAATTTTGGCCAAATTATGGTTCATCATTGCTACTACAAATAAATTTATCGTGATCAGAAAAATAAAGCCGAATAACTTAAAGGTAAAAAATTGCATCAATAATTTAGGAAATTTTCGGGACCTTAAAGTGCAAAAATAAGCATAATTTTCTTTGTTGTCCTTACCTCATTTAGGAATTTTTCAAATTCGGCATCTAAATCGATATTCTTTGTCTTGAACCGATCTCGTAGGCTACCCCAGCGATCTGACATAATTATTTTCATATACTATGTTTTTTACTCCTGTTGTCGGTAAGAGAGTATACTTATTCAGCACTATAAAATTATATAAAAGGAAGATTCAGCTGTGTACATATTCTACCGCCATGTTTTCAAAGTGTGTCAATAACTATGCAGCCAAGCTTCAGTGGTGATCGCGAGAAGACTCGGTCGAAGCTCTTGCCTTACGGGAAATCGTAAGGATGGATCAGGATCGGTGATCCAAGATCACTCGAATCGTAGTTCATCAAAGGAACTGATGAATCCGTCACCAGAGTGGATTCATCGGTTCCTTTGATATACCATGATCCAGACAGATCTTGGATCACTGATCCTGATCCTGATCATCCCAAAGGAACTCACCCTAAAGGTGATATGCTTCTGGTTCACATTGAAGCCGAAACATGATTAGAGTAAACATGTTTCAAGGAAATATCTTCCGCCTAAACATGTTTGTTATTGCATTTTTCACATCAGAAGTCGGTTTCAAACACGTTTCATGCATGGTTGAATAATTTATTCTGTTTCATGGTACTCGCATAAATTTCTTACACTTCATTAAGTAGCAATGTCCTCCCAAATATTCTGCTTTCCACCCATCGTTGATAATTGCCGTTGAATTTCTTCTTCGAGCGGTACGGGTTCGAGCCCTGGCCGGAGACATTGTGTTGTGTTCTTGTGCAAGGCACCTAACTCTCACAGTGCCTCTCTCCACCCAATTTGCATGTATAAATGGGTACCAGTGAATTTAATGCTGGGGGTAGTCCTGTGATGGACCAGCATTCCATCTAGGGGGAGTAGAAAAACTCCTAGTCGCTTCATGCTACAGAAGCTACTTGGCTCGTATCCAGACTAAACCAAGCGTTCACGTCGAGGAAATAGCCAGGAGACCGCTTTATAGATGTTAACCGCTTAAAACTGAGAGGTGATCAAAATTTAGCCCGGAATTGGGCAAAAATTGAACAAGAAAACAAAAGTAATTACGCAATTTGCATTTATTCTTTGTAAGAACAGAAACGCGAAATATAATAATTAGTTGCATGTTAATCCACGCACAAACCGACAGATTTTATAGCAGTGTTGCTCGCATTAAAGGAGAGCGTTTTAGCACCTCGTTTAACATGAAGTGGAAAAATCCTAGCTTAAATTGGTGAAGCAACTCACTAACTTCGTTCAGCTCCAGCGAGAGTTCTTCCTGAACATAAAACTGTGCAAAGTCTTGCAGCTGTTCCACTAGTTCCTCGCTCTAATAGTCCTAGTACAGTCTGAAGAACATGTTGTTTGAGTCATGGGTAGTGAAATATTTGACCTGTGCTCTGGTCGATCACCTAATGTAACAAGGTGTCCGTGTAACAGAGGTGAATAAAGTTCAACGCTTGATGGAGGTCAGACAAACAGCAGATACGTGAAGCGAATTTCGGAATTGTGAAAAGTGACCTCTTAATTAAAAGCTGACCGGGTAACAGAGTCCCACTTACTGGGGAATTGACAGCAGGAATTTACAATTAATGCTTAATACAGCGAGCGACCGCATCAGACGAAATAAATCTAGACCGGGTCGACGTTTTCACAAAAGATAGCTGATCTGGACCCCGAGGGGGGGGGGGTGGGGACTCCCATATGGAATGGACGGGGATGTTCGTTGTCTCGCTTAGGGGTGTAAATTTCGGATTTTGGTCTCGCTTAAGCTGCTCTGGGCAAAATGTCATTATTTTTAGCCGTCAAGGGCTCGTTAAGGGTTGCACGCGAAGAAATAACAAAACAGAAAGAATTTTGATTCTTTATATTTACTCAATTCATATAAACAAATTCGCCATCATTAAAAGT